TTGCGGACACTGCCTTAAGCCATTTAAACATTAACTTAAATTGCTAAGTTGCAATTCCTGGGATACTATAACAACTGTTAGCATCAAAGATGCTCCATTACTCAACTTTTTAGTTTTATCATATTGGAATTTCTCACCCTGCAACATTGGACAGTCTTGCTTGAATATAATAATAGCCTCACTCATGGTGTTGCAGAGCTTGCCACACACTCATTGCCAATTGGGTCTTATTGAAATCTGCACAATCAAATTTATTTGTTCTTTATGATACAGAAGTAGAGCTTTATTTCAAAGGAGGGACAGAGTCAGCAGAAGTTAGTTTAGAACCATTTAAATAGATGCAAAAACATGTTTTTAAAAATTGAAAGAACGAAAAGCTCTTAAAGCAGCAGGTTGTTGATATTTTAATGATATAAAGAGGTGTTTTGGAATAAAATAAAGGGTATCAATAAAATACTGTGTTGTAGCTGCATCTTGACTGTTATCATTACAGATATTAGACTTTTCATTATTGTTCCTCCTCTCGCTCTGTGATTGATCTGCCTTTTTTTAAGGCCCAAGAGTTTTGATTCCTACTAGACTGACTGGCCAGGCTAGATCTTTATAAAAAAAAATGTTTATAATGCTTAAATAATACATAAATAATTCAGATCAATACTTAGGCTTAAATAAAATGTACAAAAAAAATGAATATGTTACATTAACTCAATGCATTTGACTTGACAAAAATGTTCCAAATAAAATAAGTTTTAACTGATAATCAGTTAATAGTCTTATCAATGTATTGTAACGCGTTTTGGAGTCCCCTGACTTGAAAAGGTGCTATATAAATGTGGTTTATTCTGTATAAACTGTTTTGTTTTATTGTGTAGTGCCCAACAGGAAGCACCAGGGTACTTCCAAAAAAAAAAAATTTATGTTATGGAGAAGCAAAATAAAAACAGCTGAAGTTGAATTTTCTGGGGCTGAAGTTGTTCTACAATGAGTTGGCTGGCCTCATAAAACTGAGAATGCTACAATAAGTACAGGCCTTTTACCATTTACAATTAAAGAATAACATTTAAAAATTAAGTTTATAGTTTAAATGTAGGTGTGGAAAGTTTTTTTACTCCTATAAAAATTTCCAGCCAACCAGAATGTGCAAAGGGAGACTGGGCCCTATGCTGTCTCTGCAGCAGGAGTATAAGAAGATGGATATTGTCTCTTGAGTGCCAAAACTATTTTTGGGAGCCACATCCCCTGCCTTGTCCCTGAGCACCCTCTGATCAGCTTTGTCATCAGGTACAAGAGTGACTGCACTTTCAATAGAGAAGTCTTTAGGTCCCTTCTTTTAACGTAGAGATCATGCAAGCCCAAGGCTGAGTTGCAGCAAAATTCAAGATTAGTTAAATGTTTTATGATAAATCTCAAAGGGACTGCGTTGAGAATCAAAGCAACTTATTTGAAATTTTCTGCTTTTTGTGAAAGCTGAGCATCTTAAAGTGACTTATTTCTATTGCATTTTCCCTGTTTAACCATGCAGATGACGATGAAAGCTGTTATGATTTTTCAACAAAGTTTTTATTCCAAAACTGCATACTTTTCTGTATTTATCTTTGGAGGTTTTATAACACTTGTACATAAAACTCTGAGAATGGGGGTAGTGTATTCTATTGTAGTTGGCTTTGACGTATTGCATCCAATTACAAATACAAACACAAAGGTAAAGAAGCTAATTTGAATTAATTTGTGATAAAAAGATAGAAATATGTGTTAATACTTTGATAGCCATCTATAATGGACCTAGTTTAAGTTTTAATTTTGAAAATCTTTAGACAAATCTTGTTAAATCTAATGATTTTGTGTACAAAGTGTTTTGGTTTACAGAACTGCTTGTTCCAGAGGTAGTGAATAACATCCCGGTGAGAACAACAAATCCCCTGGTGAGGTGGGATCACAGGGGCCAGTGAGTATGAAACGTTTTGAATAGGAAATTACATCTATATCCGGTATCCCACATATCGCGACGAATATTTAAGTTTCTGCAAATAAATGCTTTTCCCTCATCGACTGGATGAGAGCGCAATAATAATTTGCATGTCAAACCGACAAACCATGTCTGTGGTTTTTACAGCTTATGTGTCAAATGAACATACTGACTATTTTTTTTTTTTTTTTTTTTTTGTGATTGCACAAAACTATGACAGAACTCTCCTGACTGAATCAGGAAATTAAATGCTATGAGTGGTTTTAAGGAATGCGGAGACAGAGGACACTCCTCTGACACTGCTCCTGACCAGGTTACCTAGGGAGAGTAACCTCTCCGCATGAAATGTAAAACTCTCATCCACGGTGGTGATCTCCAACACAAAACACGATACAAGAAGGCCCACCCAAGCTCTTTACCTCTCCAAAAAGGCAACTCAACATTTGGCATGCTATAGGAACACCAGAACAGGGCTGACCTACTAAATTATGTGGCACCTTTGAACACAACGTACGGATGTCAACTCACCTCACCTGTCCTCACATAACTCCTTATGTCTTGACACACCACGCTCCCATGAGGAGGAACCTGACCAGGAGCTTGTTCATGATCCTCAACCCCAGGTCTGCTTCCAGGATTTGGTCCCAGTTCTGACATACCACCCATGAGGAGGAACCTGACCAGGAGCTTGTTCATGATCCTCAACCCCAGGTCTGCTTCCAGGATTTGGTCCCAGTTCTGACATACCACCCAACAAGGCTTAACTCAATTTTGTTGTCATTGTTGTCATTATAAGGGTTTTTTGAACTTTGTCTGACCCACTCCCCAGAGCCTATTTACCCTGTATTACCATCAAATATTTCCATAAGACACCATATGGCCACTGAACCTCACATTGGAAATATTTATCTCTGCATTTAACCCATCACCTTGAGGAGCAGTGGGCTGCCATCTTGGGACTCCCAGGGAGCAGTGTGGGGTTAAGGGTCTTACTCAGAACCCAGAGTGGCAGTCTGCGGGAGTGGGGCTCGAACCCAGAACCTCTGGATTCCAAGCTCTATGCCCTAACCACCAGGCCGCCACTACCCAACAACAGATACTAGTTCATCCTAAAGACAAAACCCCCTGACCATATATGAGTGGATTAGTGTATGCAGTTCAGTGCATGGCTCAACAGAGGAGAGCTACCTCCTCGGGACAACACTAAGCTGTACATCTACACCTTAAAAGGCTACACTGCAGCGATAGAGTTGATTCCTTCCCGCTATCATAGCAACCCCCAACCCCGTGGGACCAGAACATCTTTCCTGTTTAGCCAGGTCAACAAATCCCCCTAAAGACGCATTTTTCAGAGGCAGAGAGTAGTATCAGGTGTTGCAGGTTAACACAGAACCCAAACAACCCCCATTCTAAAGGGGTGGACCCGTTCGTCCGGTTAAATATGCATGTTTTCAAAACAAAACAAGGCTTATGTTTTGCTCCACTCTATAAAGCCTTGAACACTCTATAAAGTCTCATCTTCTGTCAATTTTCACTGGTTGAATCAATATTCATTATATGATTGATATGTTAGCAGTGTCTTGAACTGAAAATTAAACGTTTATTCAGTGTTTGTTTCTCAGGACACTAAACTCTCTTATATATCTCCCGGGTGCTGAAGCTCAATGCACCAAGACGACAGGGAGCAGATTGCACAGGACAGGAAGTTGTGCACAAAAACAAAATAAAAGCATCCGGTTAATTTTCAAAATAATAAATAATTTTCTGGGGTAACTTGCCCTTACTTCAAGACTCACCATTGTCCTTTAAAAACCTCAAAATGCTGTATATCTGTCTACAATTTCTGTATTGTTGTAGACTCTTATATTTATTAATTTTATATTATTGCTGAAATGTGCTTATTTTATGTTGTTTATTTAATATTTATATGTGAAACTATTCATCTATTGTCACTATTACGGACTTTGACATTGGGTTGCTCTGTAACGAGCAAAACTAAATTACTTTTATGTTAACATAAGTTGAAATGAAAAGTAAAACTTGATGCTGAAGTGGGATATTGTTTTCATTTCTATCATTTTTGTATTTGACAGAGTTGATTTTCTTAATTTAAAGAAAAACAGTACAGAGAGGAAAAGGCTGAGAGGAGCAGTAAAGACAGTGACTGAGGTAGAGCAGTAACCATATTATAAAAGGAAGATACTGTGCCTGAACTGAATGTGTTTTAATTTATGTACTGATATGCTTTAAGTCAAATATTTATTGCATGCAAATTGAAATATTGTGTATATGTATATGTTCAAAAGCTGGACAAATTAGGTACTATCTTCAACATAATAATATAGTATGGCTTGGGTGTCTATTTTATAAAGCAACTTATTTCATTTATACTGGAATGTCGTTTGTGACACACTTCTAACAACTTAGATAGAAGCTTCAAACGAAAGATGACCTAAAGATGAAGTTTACAAGTTTATAATGACTGAAATGGCTGGCAGGGAAAGATGAACAGAAAAATGCAACGACTAGCCTATTCAGAAATCATAAATGTATTGCTTCTTAAGACTCTGAAATTGCCAGATTTAAATAATGGGATTAAAAATATATTCTGGGGAACACACAGCTGAACCCACTTAAAAATGACTGACTCCTGATCTCAGTGTTTTTAGGGCCCTGAGTCCGGCCCTGTGTGTATCCCTTTCAGTTTTGATTGGAATAACGACGTTGTTATTTATCAAGGATATTATTTAGTCATATATTTGTGCCAAACACTGATCTACCGCATTAAATCCATGCGTCTTTGTAGGATACATACACCGGTAGGGCTCACTTCTGCAGCGCGTAAATTTTCATCGTTCTTGTTTTGTTCATTTCAAAATTTCTTTCGCGCGTGCAGCTGATCCCGCAATCCTGTAGAAGTTCAAATCGCCTGCGTGAAAAGGAGCGAGATGTTTGAGACGCACTGGACCTTTAAACCGCGGTTGCCAATCGAAGGAGGGCAAAGAAAGGAAAGGAGGAGGGAAATCATGCTTGTACCTCTGCTGACTCTCCAATTGAGAGAAGCCAATACAGAGAGGAGCACTATAGACAGCCTCCTTAGGAAATAAACTAAACAAACACATAATTCCATGTAATATGTAGGATATACAACGCATTTACTTATTTTTTCTATTCTCCTGGAGAATTTTACGCACCGCTAAAGGCTCCTGTGAGGAAAACGCCGCAGAGATGAGTGTTGCGCGTTCTGGCGTGCTTCTGAAACATCCGCGCTCCTGATAAAGGGACCAAAGAGGACAAACGAGGCTTTTTTCTCCCTAAGATCGCAAAGGTGGAGCGATTAGAGAAGGGCTGATGAAGGGACTATTAATCCTTTCAGTGCATCAAAAGCACCAACGAGGATTAGAAACGTTTGGATGGAAATCGGAACTGTTTTTGGTTTTATATGAAACTGGTGATTAATTATTGTAAGTTTTCCCCTCACTAAACACATTTCTAAGGTGTTTTGCCTTGTGGAAGGTTGTAGGAAAACGTGAATTGGCAAGAAAGAAAAACAAAAAAAGCAACTCTTCGCCTTTTTTTTTTTCTTCAAGTAATTTCTTAATCTAAATGGAATTAGTTGAGTCTGAAGTCGGTTGTGAAAGAAACAGACATGGTACATGGGCACAGCTTCATTCACGGTAAGCGCTTCTTACCCATTCTTACATTTTCAAAGTATATATATATATATATATATATAAATGCTTTTCTTAATAGTGTCTTGTAGACAGAAAGTCAAATTATCTTTAAATCAAATTTGTAAAAGAATAGATATCAGAGAAACAGACCTTTTGCACATCAAAATGTTTTATTTTTAAGTATTTTTATTTATTTTAATTATTAAAATTTAAATGAACATGCTCAATTTGTGAGCATGAAAAATATAAGTTACTTTCATGTGATCAACATATTTGGAGTAATTCTGTCACATTTGCTTTATTTATTTATTTATTTATTTATTAGGAAAATGCATTTGTTTTTTTATTGTATCAAGACAGTGCAGTGAAGAATAGAGGAGAAATGTCCAAAGTGCTGATGTGTGACAGTATCAGGAATGTAAACTGTGCTGACTCAAACCTACAAAAAAAGAGACATAAAACTAAACAATAAAAAATGCATTTCTCTTTCCAATCTTACAGTTGTGGCAAGTCTACTCATGCTTGGCTTTTCTGGGGCAACAAAAAAGGATATGGCTACAGGTAATCTCAACATCAAAAGTGTTGTGTTTAACCCCTTGATTTCTGTTCTGTGAAAAGCTTCATTCATTGAGGAATAATCTCTTTTGTATGTATTTTGCTTCAGTGAAAAACAATTCAGGAGTGAAACCTGCAGGTCAGTGTGGAGCATGGGTAAAAGACGCAGACGGAGGGCTCTTCACCTCACCCAATTATCCAAATAAATACCCCCCAAACACAGAGTGTGTGTATATCCTTGAAGGTGAATATAATCATTACACACATTGCAGTAGAAAACAAAAATTTATTTATTTTCCGCTGATGGAGCATACTAATGGTTTTTATAATGAGACGCTTGATTGGCGTACTATTTGTTCCTATCGGTTTCTTGATTTTTTGTTATAAAATGTTTTACCAAAAAGAACTACTATTCAGCTTTAGTCTGGTCTATCAATGCATTCTGAATAAGTGTGTTGTGAGACAAAAAATATGATACAAAATACTAAGCTGAAATATGAGATAAGGGAATATTTCATTAATATTTAGCTATCCTTTTCATAGAACATAATCAATCAGTAGAGGTTTGATCAGTCTAATAGTTTTAGATTTTAAACTAAAGATAATTCAGGCAAGATTGCTAAAAAAAAAAAAAAACACTAACAGCAGATGCCAACATAAGTACTGTTGCAGCAATCTTACATATACAGTATATAACTTATACATATACAGTATACTTAGCATCAAAATGTATTTGTATGTTTTCACTGTTTCCTTTTTCTTACACATACTAAAAATAAATCTTATACAATATAATTATGCTGAGGATTTTCTTTGATGCTTTTCTATCCGAGTATTTTTAGTCAACTGGATGAAGAGTCTTTGTTTGCTGACTTTCAATACAGTATGGCAACTTAAGAACTACTGTTTATATAAGAGCCTCAAACGTTGATACAGGCTGTTGGTGTTGTAGAACTCACCTTTACATTCAGAACAAATAACCATAGCTTATCTAAATACTGCTTCCTGAGACTGCTTTTACGAAAAACATTAATACATTAATGTGGTAATATTGGAAGAGCTCCCAGATCTCATTACCCCTTAGTATTGAATTTTAAGCCTTGTTGGTTAAGCAATAAGAATATTGGTTTTATCAATGTGCAATGTCCTTGAGTGACCTTAAATGTGTTTTTAACTGAAACGTATAATAGTAATAATCAAGAGCCACATTAACTACATAATTACATTTTATACAACATTGTTTCTGATGTGTTTCCAGCTCCCCCAAGACAGTGCATTGATCTACACTTTGAGGACAGTTATTCAATCGAGTCCTCCTGGGAATGTAAATTTGACAACATTGAGGTTCGCGATGGACCATTTGGCTTTTCCCCAATGCTTGGGAGGTACTGTGGTCAGCACAGCCCTCCCGATATTAGGAGTAGCGGCCGATACCTGTGGATAAAATTTGTAACCGATGGAGAACTGGAAGGGGTGGGATTTTCAGCAAGTTACAACTTCACAGCAGGTATGTGTGCTTTATGGATTTTTGTTTTTAAATCTATTTTGCCCCTTTTGACTTATCGTTTTCTTGAGACTCACAAAAAAAAACTCTTTTGGACCTTGGTTTCTTCGTTATCTTTCTTTATGTTGTCTTATATGTTGTCCTTCACATCACAGCCATTGATAATAAGTTATCATTGGAAGTCATCTTATAGGTGTTTTCTGGTACGTATTGTTTGTTGTTTCTAGAAGGACAGTACAAGTGCACAAATATGTATATCTTGTCTTTCATGTAGGTGGGGACAAGGTGTTCTCATCTTAATTTTACCCTCTCTGAGGGTGAAATAAAGTTATATTACTCTTAATTAAGCTGATGAAAACTCCTTTCTAAAATGAGCCATGTAAACAATCCAATTGGAATATTATGTTTTTGGTTTAGCTCATGTAGAAAGAATTTGTACTCTAACTGAGAGGTGTAGTTTATACAGATCCATTTTCTGATCAGTATCCATCCAACACTCATTCAATTGCTGAGCCTGTAGCTTAAATATGGAAAGGAAAAATGCCTAAACTTGAACTTAAACTAAAACCTGATGGAAGTCCCTTTTGGGAGCTCTAAACAGCTAAAACCAAAACACCCAAGGTTTTGCTGTTTTTTTTTTTTTTTTTTTTTTTTCTTTTTTTTTGCATAGGAAGAAGTTCAACACTTATGCAGTTGTTTCTGATTTTACTATTCTGTTCTTCTATTCTGAATAAACCAATCTATAAGTAAAGGCATTTCATGATTGGATTATTTTATTTTAAACCCATATAAAACTGTACTCAAGTTGCTTGATTACTTTTAATCCAAACACATTCAATCCAATCAAGGAATTGAGTCTGTGCAACCACAGCTATTGTGTCAAAACTCTCTACAGAAAATGTGTATAGAGCTTAGCTACATTCTATTGAGCTTAAAGATACTATGAGTGTTTAAGCCTTAAAATCATAGTGCTTGAAGGTTACAACTGTTTCTCCTATGCACCTTTATGGGAATAATGCTCTGGGATATTGAGGGTTTGTTGGTTGTTTATTTGATGAACATCCATGGAGTACAAAGACCTTTTACAAAATAAACACAAAATTTGACTGTAGGCTATCGAGAAGAAAGCAACTGAGCACAACAGGGGCTAAAGATTAATTGGTAAGAACTGTTGAGAAATCAGAATGCCCTTTGTGACAAATCACTATGAAGCAATAAAATCCAGTTCTTCAAAGGAGTCCCAATAAAAATAACATGTTTGCACTGTTTTGATGTGATTTAGCAGGAAGCTAAAGAAAACTCAAGTTCTGGCAAATGATGGTCTGAATCTTTTTTAACTATGTCTTTGACCTAAAATCATACTTATACTTTCGGAAATACATCTGCAGTAAATGCATTAGTTATTTCTCAAATATTTTGGCCTATTATCTTTCTTAATTTTTTGTTCATAAACGTGGTGCAGTAATAGCTTCCTGTGATTTAGGATTACCCAATGGTCTTGACATATTTTTATTTATTTGGTCACTTCAACACTTCAAAGATTTGGAAGTTTTTTTAAGCGAAAAGCATAGGGTGTTAGTGACATACCAGCTAAACTTAAAAGAGTCAAACATACTGTAATAAATTTAGTAGTATAGCTTCTTAAAAAAATATTTCATTCAAAAAGGAGTGATCTGTTCCTGGAGCAATTGTATTTCATAGAAACATAGCTTCTATAGTATAGCTTAGAGGCAGATTAAATCTGAGATAAAAGAAAGACTGCTTTATGTTAAAATGTATAATGTTAGTTATCTTTAAGCTTTTCAAGGTATTCAGCCAAAACAGACTTGTCTTACTTAAATGTACATGTGCTGAAAATGAAATAACTTATTTGTGGCAGATATAAAGTTTTCCAGATAAAAACAAAAATGCTCTTGAAGCTCTGACATCTAAATCGCTGCAAACAAAGGAACTTCATATTTCTTAAGATCAAATTACTGACAGGTTGATTAACATTAAGATTCTCTTGGCACTAATCATCACTAGATTTTACTTAACCCTAAATGAATTTTTATCACAATTGTGTCAATATCTTGTCTTTTTTTCTGCAATGAAAATATATTACTAATTTTCTGTTGATTTAGTTTTTTTGTTTTGTTTTGTTCTTCAAGAGTGTCTATCTTGTCTAGAACATTTGGTTTACTGTCTGGTCCACATAAAGAGACACAATGAGGTATTGAAATCCCTTAAAGCACAGGTATCAATTCAATCCAGCCCCTCACAGCAATTTATCTGGCCCTCAGACAAATTGGCAAAAATGGCATATTAAGTAGTAAGTGTTATTTTGATATGCACAAATTGGTTAAGAGCTTGATATACATGTTGGGAAGTTATAATACACTGCAAAAAATTGAAATCTAAATAAATTTTTCTTAAATTTTCTTGAATTGAGCAGGTAAGTGAGATGGTTTGCCAACTGAATAAAACAATTTACATTTAAAATAAGGAAAAACTACTTCAGCCTCTTATTTCAGGTATATAATATTCAATTATCTTATTTTAGCAGTAAAGATACTCAATTTCTCATTTTATTTATACATATATAGATACATATATGTATGTGTATGTATGTACATGTATAAAGTTAATACTAAATAATACTTACTTTTCTATAAACTTGCCACAATAAGAAAGTTCAGTGATTTGTTTTTTATTTGGTTTAGTTGTATAAAGATTGTGTGCCATCCAACTGCTTTATGTGCTCCAGCCTTTAGATGTATTTTCTTTTTGAGGGTCCAAATATGCTTACATTCACACAGAACCTCTCTCAATCATCTGGTTTTGTAGCAATGCCTCCTTGGGTGAACAATGACTGCAAATATTTTTGCTTTGTACTTTGCACCTCACGTTCAAGAGTACAAAAAAAAGCAAAAACTCCTGCAAGAGTTCAGTGTCTGATTTGGACAATCACTTTGCATATGGAAAATGTTTACATTTGCATATACTCCACCCACCAATTTGAACGGTTTGGTGATTAGAAAATGATCTGCATATCGGTGAACGCACAAGCTATCTCCTTAATTGCAAACACAAATCATTTTGCACCTTCTTTGAAGATCTGCTCTGTGCTTATGAACTTGTTAGCACTTGTTTTAAGATCTAAAAATCCTCTGAAGATCAGGCCCTAAGTGCTTAAATCTCATTGGAATCTGTTATACAACATGATTTCTAAGCATTTTTTGGAATCCAAGCCTCATTGTCCTCTACCCTCCACCAAGGATATTCTTGCAAACACCCAGACCAATTACTATACAAATCATTTCACAGGGTTTGCAACAAAATTTATTTGCCTGTATGCTTCCCTGTTTGCAAACATATGACTGCAGATGGAGAATGAAAGGAAGAATAAATGGACATTATAAGTTAAAAAAGAAAAAATGCAAATAAATTCACAAAATGAACACTTTTAAAAAGAAAAAAAAAGCACTGATTGCCGTACATGCCAAAACTTCAATTGTTCCTTAGATTAAACAATGCTACTTTATGCGTTTTGTCTGTTGTACATGCCAAGTAAACCTAGCTATCTGTCCCATTTAGGGGTGTGGGAAATAATCGTTTTGGCGATATATCGTGATATTTTGCTGCCCAATATAATATCGATCTTTCACTTCTTAGTATCGATTTAAAAAAAAAAATGGTTACATAAAACATTGATGGGAAAATGGGCTACCTCTGCACCACCACTCTGGCAGAAAGCGCTGTGGAGCCCTTTAACTGTGCGTGCAGCACCAAATCTGAATTTGAGGCAGTCACAGTGGAAGAAAACCCCAAACAACATGGATAATAATACCTTATCAATATTTTCTGACGAAAAATATACAGCACTTGCTGTTTTATTTGATAATTTGATTTTGATAGCTGGGGAAAATATGGCAATATATAGTGATACTGCAATATCGTGATAATATCGTATCGTGACCCAAGTATCGCGACATGTATCGAATCGCAACACTCATGCCAATACTCACCTCTAGTCCCATTACCTGCTGATCAACGTCCAAACTGTTCATGCTGAGGGCAACAGCATAGCTAGAAGGTAGGGCAGGGAGAATACTGGACCTTAAATCTGATTGCCCCACCCCCAGAAGATTTACATGGCACAGTTCCAAGTCACTGTAGTTGGTGCAATGCTGAGTTCAAAAGAGAGTAAAAATTGTATTTACTTAAAAGAAAACCAACTTTGACAAAATTGTACTTAAACACAAGAAGAGTAATCAGCATAACATCTTATTTAACAGTAAAACATACTTAATTGAAATTTTACTTGAAGCAAAATTTTGTTACTTTTCTGTGAGCAGAAGAAAGTCCCTCTTAATTATTTCACAGATTAAAAGAACAGAAATGGCTCCTAAACTGTTTGTAATTAAATAAAGACCTTTATGATAAATGTTTTATTATGAAAGGTACACACACCTTTACTGCAAAAATAAAACACATCAACCAGTTTATTAAGCACTAATTCACAACATGTGAGATCTCAACAGATATATGACATTACACGTCTCTAGGCTGCTCTGTAAATATTTGGTGTTTTTTAAACTAGTTTTTGAGCCATTTTGCTCAAGTTGGATGATTTAATGAGATATAGCTGTGTGTAAATATTATTTTATGTAAAACAAGTGAAACCAAGTAAGCCTACTGTAAAATTAATAAATCAGCATTATCCCCTAAAAGCTTTATGTTATCAGTGCATTAATTTGCTTCCACTATTATTAGCACATGTAGTGTTATGTTTTCCTTGACAGACTTTATCTTTATAGCAGTGCAAATATGCTGCATTGTCTCATGCAAATTTGTACCACATTTCCAAATGTTTAAAATTGTAAGTAGACCAATAACACAACATATTTAACCAAAGGGGAGTGCCTGGTTATATGTATTATGCAATCTGACTACATAATCTCTGTAATGTGCCTTGAGATGACATGTGTTCTAAATTGGTGCTATATAAATAAACTGAACTG